TTGAATCCCTCAAAATCTCAAAAATAATAGTTTTTATATTTAATTCCGTAAACTTTAAAGAGATTTCAAAAAAAAAAAATTGAATTGACAAAGTGAGAATACATTGAGATGAGTTCATTGATGTCTAGGATAGTCACACAAGAGTAAGAGAAAAGTGATTAAGACTACGACTAAAAATGAGTAAAAAACTCTCTAACTTTTATGAAGGAGATGATGAGTTAGAATTAAAAAGTTATTGTTTTAGCTTTCACGTTAGCACACGACACTATCATATAAGTACCAAACTACCATGTTAAAGGATTAGTATTTACAGTGAAGTCAAAACCAAAGTCAGAGTAAAAATTGAAAGATTTTAAAGTTTGATGATAAAGTCAATATAAATCTTAAAATTTAGTGACATTTAAAATAATTTACCCCTTGGATTAATAATGTATGGAAGGGTGTTTTGGACTTTGGTATTTCCCATGTATGCTTACAACCAAAGATTCCCAATTAAAAAATAGGGAAGGGAAGGAGGTGTTGGGGCCAATGCTCAGACGGTTTGTTGGATTTTCTTTCAATGCTTTGGCGTTTGTGTGGTCACTTTCAACATTTTTAGAGAAACTGTAGGCTTTTAAAAATAAGGGTGATGCCATAATGTATTAGCACTAAACACAACCAGAATCAAGCGAGGAGCTTCAATTAAGCTTTGGATTAAGCAGAGCGAAGAAGATTAGTTGGAAGGATGGTGTCATCATTGGCTCCTCTTGGCAATCGCCATCATTGTATGTTTTGGTTATTCTGCTTGGCATTATCCTAAGAAATAAGAGTGAAGCATGTGCTTTGCAAGCATTTAAGTTGAAGCAGTCTCTTAATTCCCATCCCCAGGGATGGATGAGATAATGGTGGGACGATTGCATTTCTGAAAATTTCAAATCTTTATATAATATAAATAGTACGTCCGTCCTACTTATCAACTTTAGTTTTTATTCCTCGCGTGCATTGTCCATTTTTGTTCTTTGATGAAATATTCTGTCTACGTTAACCACCAAAGCAAGTCTGCAGTTGGATGTAAATATTACTAGAAACTACTGATTAGTGCATCAATATTCAAGAAACATCCAAGTATATAGTAATTTAAAGCATGGGAAGTCAGTAAACAACACCCAACAGAAAGACTTAAAATTAAAACAATTCTAGCATCTCTAGAATAAGCTACTGCAGCAATACATATCTGGATATCTTATGCTGAAGTTTAAGCAGCATTTTGGGCAGCAAGCCTCTTCCTAGCTTCCTCAATGACGGATAACTTGATACCCTTGCCTTTAGGAAGAGACACCCATGGCTTTGTTCCTTTTCCAATAGTGAAAACATTACCGAGACGAGTTGCAAACTCATGCCCGGCAGCATCTTGAACGTGGATCGTCTCAAAGCTACCCTTGTGCTTCTCCCTATTCTTAATTACTCCAACTCGCCCTCTGTTCCTCCCTCCAGTGACCATGACAACATTCCCAACATCAAACTTGATGAAATCAACAATCTTGTTGCTTTCAAGGTCTAGCTTGATGGTGTCATTGGCCTTGATCAAAGGATCCGGGTAACGGATAGTACGCCCGTCATATGTATTTAGGTATGGGATACCTTTCTGGCCAAACTGGACAGACCGAACTTTGCAAAGCTTGAACTGCACAAAGCAAAAAGGAACACAGACGGTACTGTTATAACTAAAACGGTGAAGAATGTTGGAAAACTTGAGTACTATATTACAAATGTGACAAGAACTAACAGCATATAGAACAGAATATGAATATTCAAACCTTAGTTTCATCACCAGTGATAGCATGGAGACGGAAACGTCCTTTGGTGTCATAAAGAAGACGGAAGTCCTCGTTGGTTTTAGGAATGGACACAACATCTGGCAGAAGGTAGTAAAGCATGGTTAGGCAATATCGAAAGGTAATACTTTTAGAAAGGTAGAGAGAAAGGAAACAAATCCTGAAAATGTATCTTTTAAAGCTAACTAGGAACAGAACATTGCTCTACTACAAGATCTCAGCATGTATTCCATAAAATCAAAACAAGATTGTCAAACAACCCGACGTAATGTGAAAAACAAAGTAATCAAACCAAAGTATTGCATTCAACTAAATACTTTGTATAATGAGAATCCAGAAAAATTAAAACTGACAAAATCAGCTCAGGAAGTGAAGAATTTACATACCCATGAAACCAGCAGGATAGGTCTTATCTGTCCTAACCTTTCCATCAACCATAACATGCCTCTGCATGAGAATGGCAATGACTTCTCTATAGGTGAGAGCATACTTCAATCGGTTTCGCAGAATAAGGATTAATGGCAAGCATTCCCTGGATTTGTGGGGACCAGAAGATGGCTTGGGTGCCTACAAAGATGAAAAACGTAAACAAAATTAGAACCTTAATAGACGAATCAAGGTAAACTGTGTCAAAAAAGAGAACTGAAAAGGATAAAGAAAAACAGTAAAATATGGAGATGAAGGGATAAAGATGATCGCATACAAAAGCACCACCAAGCTTGTCAAGCATCCAATGCCTAGGGGCATTGAGCCTCTTCAAATGTTTCTTCAACCCTCTAGCCTGTAACACACCGCCAAAAAAAATGTTCGTAAACAAAACTCAAATGTACAAGATATCAAAAAACATATTGCAAACAAAACTGGACTGTACAAGATACTAAATTGTCAAGCCATTTCAAACATGGACCAACGCAAGATTTTACGTTAAGGGGAAAACTTGTAAAATTCTGTGTTCGGGGGGTGCGAAAAAGAATTTAAAATTTTCAGGGGCGACTGATACCATCTCCATCAGTCCATTCCTTATTTCAAATAATAGGACAATGAATGTAGAGCAGGTAAATTCTCAAGGTTCCATCACGTATCAAACACTAATTAAGCGAGGAATTAGCTAGATCCAAGCTATTAAGACTACTACTACCACAAAAAACACAGACATCCAAATGTCCAATACTATAAAGAACAGTGGGAATCACAGGAAAAACAGAAATCATAAATATTCCAAATCAATAAAGATGGATAACTTTGCATCCGTTTAGAAAGTTAGCTCACGACGTTAAACAACAGTGATAAGCCAAACTAATATGGAATATCCTAAACAACAAAACCATGAAACTCACATAACTTATCAAAGAATGAACAAAGAGTCAAAAAAATAATTAGTGAATCAAAGATGGGAAAAGCAGAGGAAACTGACCATCTTGAATAAGTGAGGCTGCCGTGCTCAAAGTCCGTGTCTTGCTAGTCTCAAAAAACGAAAAACCCTAATAACTGTATGTATTAAAAGGATGAGGGCATTATAGGAATATAGGGTCATCCATCCAGATATGAATTGAACGTCCGCAATCCATGAACGAAACTATGTTTATGGGCCTTAAGCCCAGAAAAAAGTAATTTGCATTTTAGGTACTTAATTGAAAAATAAAGGTTGAAATTATCATTTAAGTGTATAATCGTTAACAGTTGCTGACAAAGTTATCTAATCAATGCATAACACGTAATATATATTTTTTTGAAAAATTCTTTACTTTTTCTAAAATTTTAAAATCATTAATTTTAATAAAACCATAAATACTCTTAAATTACCTAGAATCTCAAAAACTTCACCCTCAAATTTGAAATCCTATATAAGATCATCGAATCAATCACCATTAGTCATTTTTCACACGTTTTTCTGTACTCTAAACTCCTTCACATAATTTTTTTTTCACACAGTCATCACATGTTCGTTGTTGACGGTAAGATTACTTTCTAGTTTGAGTAGTTTTATTGTACGACATTTTTAATATACGATTAAAAAAAGATTTACTGAAAATTTTATTATTTTTTAAATATTTTTTATAAAGTGTTACATAAAACATTATTTTTTTTATCGAAAATGTTATTTTCAGTAACTATTTTTTGGTATTTTACCGAAAATATTAAATATTTTAGATAGTGCACAACATTAATATTTTCGGCAGAAAAAATAATTTTTGACAGCACTTTACCGAAAATCTTAAAAAAATAATAATGTATATGATAGTGACTTTTCTTAGCCGTATATTAAGACTGTCGTACTTGAGACATCCTCATAGTTTGATCTCCTGTCTTCAAGAAGATTTGAGATTTGAGAAGTTAAAAAATTAAGAGTTTTTAATAAGAATTTAGTGTTTAAAAAACTAATATTAATTAAAAAATTAATATCACATGTCAAGCAATTATTAATTAATAATTGTTTATAATCATTAATGGAATGACCTTAAAATGGCAATGAAATGAAATTTTAAAGACCTTAAATGATAACGAAATTAGACAATTATCTCGATGAAAAAACTCTAGCCACTTAAAATAGTCAAAATGTAGAATTTAAACATTTATTTTTTAATTAAATCATATAAATATAAAATATTGATATATCGATAAGATATTTAGTAATTTACAAGAATTAAATCAAATCAAAACACCATATATATGTAATTTCATAAAAGTAAAGTTTATATATTTATATTAGATAAAAGTTCATATATATAATTATGAACACATCAAGTCATTTTAATGATCAAAGAAAATATTGTTTTTGAATTGTTGCGTCTGTAAAATATATATACATTATCAATGATTAAGAAAGATTATAAATAAATATTATATTATAATTACTACGTACTCTTAAAAATTAATATATACTTATCATATTAATCCTTTTTTTATTAAACAACAATTACATTGGGTCTCACAAAATGGATATATTAGAAAAATAATTACGCATCCATACTCGGGAGTGACGGTAAAACGAACCCCAAAAGAAAAATACTTAAAAAACAATATTTAAAACTAGACTCAAACAAGTACAAACTTTAACTATGTTTATAGTAAAAGAGAAGGATTATTAAATAAAGAAAAATAAATATTTAATATATAAAATAAAAAACGAGAAAAAGGATGTTACACAAAAGGAGCAATTGGAATCACTGTTTGACATTCGTGCCAAAAAATACAGTACAAGTCTGAGATAAATTACAGAAAACAAAGAAAATCAAAATGCTAAAGAGAAAGTAGAAGCCAGTAGGAATGAGCAAAGTGGTTGAAGATGTTACAATCAGATTCTAATCATCAACACTTGTTTAATCTTGAACAATGTGAATCAGAATAGTAGCTTCATCACTGCTGGGAGCTGCACTCTCTGTTCATTCACAAATTTATCACTACTCAATATGCAAAAACTTCAAGTTAAAAACCAAAAGAAAAATATCAAAATGATGCTCAAAGAATTCAACCTGGAAGAGATGTGGGCAACTGTGAGACAATGTTATGAATGATACCTCCTCCATTTTCTGTTTTCTCTGATTTGCTTTGATCTTCACCACCTTCTTCTACCTTTTGTTTCTTATTGCTGCTTCCCTCTCCTACTTCGCCCTCGGAGTGGTGAAACAGGTTGGACACGAAATTGTTGATAAACCCTCCGCCGCCGCCGCCGCCCCCTTCTCCCTCTGATCTCAAACCTGGTTCATTTTCACTTGCGGTTGTATGATCGAAAGCTTCAGTTTTTCCTTGGGTACGGGTACTGGTGTTTCCAGTTCTCGGACTTAAAGGACTGACCAGATTGGAGATGATGTGATCAAAAATCCCACCGCTATTCTCGTCATGTTTACCCTCTGCAGCTGCACTGATCGTCTCTTTCTCGGCTTGTTCGCTTCGATTTTCTCCATCACCATCTGTTCCTCCATTAACTAAGTTAGAGAAGAGATGATTAATGAATCCACCACCGCCGTTAGCTCTCTCTTCTCCGTGTTCTTTAGCTGCTTCTGGGGTTTGTCTTTCTTCTCCGGAAACTTCATCATCTTCCCTGGGATTTACTGCTTCGGGCATAGCATCTTCCATCTTTTCACCTTTGTCTGGTTTCTTAAACATCAAATCGGTGGGTATTAATGGAAGAGTTGAGATGCAGCGAAACGGGGAAAGGAAGGAAATGGCAGAATCGTCATTTATTGAGAGGGTAGTGGTAAAAGGATCTTCTTACACGTAATATTGGTAATTGTTTTGTTGGCTTATGTAGCCAAATCGGCCAACAAAAAGTGAACACGTGTCGTATTGTCGGAGACTTATCGTTGTTCAAGGAGTTTTATGATTTCAATACATAAATATATACATGGTCGTTGGAGTAGAATACCGCCTTTGTCAGAAATACAATACACCGACTGCTTTACATAACAATAAAGCGTCGTCGTTTCCCCTGAAGAATTAATTGTACTAAAGACCTTCATACTATAGTTAAGATTTTTAAGTATTTTAATCGTTCAAATAAACTTTGAAACTTCTCATCAATCTACTCATCGGTTGAAGGGTTAAATGCCAATTTAAATCTATAACACCAAACATATTTAAAACAAGTAAATAAAAATTTAAACACTATACATATACTACCATATCTACTTCTAATAATATTCTATTGTTTCAACACGTCAAATCCAAAACGTCCATGCAACACGTGTAAACATATTTGAAACTTGATCCACAAACTTTTAAATATGTTCCATGTCAAATCCGAACAATCATTTAATGTTCAAGCATATGACTAGAATGATGGAAGGATATAAATTAAAAGATATAAATAATTAGATGACTCAATTAAAATATACTAAAGTTCAGAGACCAATTTAGAATCTAAGCATAATTTGAAGATGTATGGTGCAATTAACTCTTCTCAGCATCAAAGAAACAAATATCATATAAAAGCATTATATAGGCAGGCACTTGACATTTCACAAATCCATGGACATCCCTAAACAAGATCTTCATTAATCATCATTGGTATCAATACAAGAAAGTGTATCACATAAAGAGTTAAACAAGACTCACTCTTCCTCATCATTTAAAATAAAAACCCTGCCTGAGTTTTCACAAGAACCAGAAACCATCTCCATTGCAAGATATATGATCAAATTCAACGGGGTTGGCTGCTTATCCATATAGCACCTAGTGGAAGCCAAGTCCAGATCTTACCAATCAGAGTTGACTTCTTTGTGGTAGCTATGCTATGGATAATTCTCTCTTCGACCATATATAGCCTCCACCTCAGCTTTCTTTTGTGCTTCCCTTTCTGCCTTCCGCCGAGCATCCCTCGCATCAGAATCAGCATCTACTTTATCCATTATCGCGTCGAAACCAGGAATCGTCCTTTGCAGTTTGTCATAGACTTGGCTGCTAAGGTTGTAAAAAATTCGGAACAATCTCTGCAGGTGTAAAAGCACAAAGGTTACAACATTAGTGCTTTTTCAATATTAGAAAAGATCATCAAACAGTTTGAAAGCTACTGCTCAAAGATAGTAAGATACGAAAAATCGTAACATGCTATTTTAACAAAAATCATTTTTAACAATTCCTAAGATGATCCTACAATAAAAAGAACTAATATATGTTGAAAGCAAGGTAGATACTTCAGTTATCGAACTTGCAACTTGACCAACATCATACTTGGAAAAGATTACACCCTACCTTGACATCCTTATTCCAGTGTCTTATGTATGGAGGACCAGTGTGGTAGGTGCCAAGAGGTTCTCGATACCACTCTCCACCGTACGTAATATCATCCATTGCTTGCTCAACACTTAAAACTTCCCACGGCCTTAACCCAGGGATAACTTTGGCCAGTTTTCGCCTGCCTCACAAAACCAACTAAAACATTAAAAATTTTCGACATATAAAACAATTTAAAATAGACGCTTCTAATAAGATGATAACCATCGAGAAAACATGCAATTTCAGCAATATAATGTACAGTAATCTTCAAACACCAAACCAGATAACATAGGCTAGAAGAGGAGAAGTAATACCGAAGATCTTTCGAAATGTATTTGTTTGGCATATGATCAGCTTCCAAAACAGTTGTCAGCTCAGAGCCACTAGCCCAAAGAAATAGGGCATGGCTGGGAATTCTAACTCCAGGCCATATGCCATCATTAGCTTTTAGGACGGCCAAATCACGTCTTTTGCTCTCTATAGCTTCTTCTTGAAGCTGCTTATAAGTTTTATCCTCATGTCCTTTAAGAGGAACCCAAGGAGGTATACCTTTCTGAAGTTTATGAAGGAAAGCTGTTGCTGCCGCACCAAGCCTAACTGATTATCAAAATAAGAAAAATAGTAAATCAACAAGAAATCCGAATCGGACCATTCAGAGACAATACTCATCTAAATATAATGCATTTGATAGTATCATCAAGACAAAAGAAATCATCCCCAAAGCAGTAAAAGGAGGCTTTGGCTCTAGATTCCAAATGATTGAAACGGCTAATCTGAAAGTTCAATAGATCACAATATTTAAATGGAATTTCTTGTTTAAGTTTGTGGAATAACTCAAACGATAAAAAATGCCAGGAACAGTAATATATCATGTACAAAAGGCAGGCCTCAACTAAATAATCATCATAGCATTTTAAATGGATTTAATTGTGTTAAAATTACATCCCGTGCTCATTTCAATTTTTTCTGAATCACCATGAACATCACCTAATCATGTGTCACGATAATACACATGAAACCTAGTTCATCAAAGTTGTATTTGACTTAGATAACTAATATCATTTTGGTACTGCATTTTGCAGTTACAACACTCGAAGAACACTAACAAAATATTAACTATATTATATGTTTCGGCCAATGCTGAAACTGTGAAAGACGATTCCCAGCATACACAACCTGGCTAACATGTTTCTACATACAATAAACTGATTTAAGCGAAAAGCATAGGAAAAAAAAGGAAAATAGACAAACCTTCCCAAGTGGCTATGGCACGTTCCATGCCATAAATCATATGAATAGGTGCCCATTCATCCATGTCCTCTCCCCAAATAAAAGTGTTTTTATCAATAATCCCACCACCCCAAGCTGTTTTGAGGGTTATTAACTCACAAGGACCTCGGGTTCGACCCAGGCGATCTTTATAATACCATCCTCCACTCCTCATGATAACTGTATCCACAAATAACCTTTAAATGATTGATTATAAAAACAATGCAGAACATAAGATTAAATCCAACTCTAAAAGTTAAGGAACTCAAATAATTCCGAAACAAATTGTTGTAGAACCAGGCTTAACAACAATGTATGTTTTAAGATAGAAACTAAACCACGAAACCAAACTTACAGTCATAGTAACGCCTCTCGAGCCGCTTATACCCGATGGCTTGAGCAACATCAATGGGTCGACCTGGTGGATAAGGCCTCTGGCGGAACCCCCAGAGGCCAAAGAAGAACTGTCTAGTGAAATCCCAAAACTTATCATCACTCTCTTCCCTTGTTTTGATAGCCTTTCTAGGCATTGGCCTCCCATCCAACCCAATAACGTTCGGAACAGCTTGCCACAGCTTCTTATCTTCCTTCCTAAAAGGCTCTTCATTCTCTTTAAGCTCCATCCTATTGATCTCATCAGCAATTTCTTCGGCTCTAGCCAAGAACTGAACCACGGGACTTTTCCTGAAATCATTCCACCATTTGTCATTCTCCTTAATCTCCTCCTCCGTCGGATTCTCCTTCTTCTCGAAAAAAGGGTCTTCGTTCAGAATCTTATCTACCTCTGGAGTGTGCCTGTAATCAGGGAGGTTCTCGCTCTCCCAAAAGAACTGGTCCAGCATCTGCTTGTAGGGTCCGGGGTTGTCGGAATCCGGGTCGGGTTTCTTGGGTTTTCGCTTGAAGAGGCTGGAGCTGTTTATGGAAGCGAAGTTTGGAGAGGTTGTGGATGTTTTGGGGAAGAATGACTCGGCGAGTGAGTGAAGGTTGATGGGTTGAATCGGATTTTGAGGTTTCCTGAACCAGCTTTCGAAGGGATTGAAGTTGATTGAAGTCATTGAGGAGGTTTGTTTCTAAAGGTTTTGGGTTTTGGTGAGGTTATAGGGAACGGAGTTCGGCTAAGTGGCGACGGAGCTACCAGAGAATGAGTTTTCTATAGTGATAAGGGTAGAGGCGGAAGCGGGTATTACTATTAAGCCGCGTTGAAATTTATGGGCCTTACAAAAAGCTATGGCCTAAACTTTGTTGGGCTATTTGTTCCATGCATCTTAGATAGCAATCATCATTTTACTCAAATTCAACGAATTTTGGTCTGATTTAATTTTTTGGAAATCTGAGTTTAGATTATATTACTTCAATTTTTTAGGATGGAGTTGTGTTAAAGTTTACTTTTAATGTGACACTTCCCCTCCAATTATATGATTAACGAGATTAGTTGATTAGAAAGCGAGGTTTTTCTTTTTCTGAGGTGATAAAGTTGTCTCTTATACTGATTGAATCCTCAATTAAAAGATTGTTGTCAACATGTTACAAGGCTCTAGTCTTCAGCATGTCACCATTCTCCCATAGTGATCGAATAAGAAAAATAAGAGGCTCGTGGAATTGACATAGAGTATAGGAATTATTATATTTCTGGGAGTAAACTCCAGGTGAATACGAAAAGTTGATCATGCCTGAAGTCGTTATCTTAACCACAATGAAGGAGATGTCCAATGAAAAATCTTCTACATGGACTTATAATATAACTTTTTTTTCTATATATTTAGAGGCAATTGTTACAATACTTCTATCTTTATATATATATATATATATATATATATTAATTAAGTTGTTATTTTACTTAATACAAATGAGAAATTTTATATGTGTCATAATAGGTTGGATTGAGAGTAAATCTTTATCTTAAAATTTAGACCGAATTTTAAATAAGATAATTTTTTTTCTAAATTTAGGTTGGGTCGAATTTTGAATAGATATTGTATTCTTCATTGGTCAAGTTGATCAGAAACGTGATCCATCCCCGATGAATCAAATGATATTTTTGTTTCAAGTTTTGCCTCTTCTTCTCCCTATGAATCAAACTTTTCTTTGCCATAATGATTCAGTTCCTATTATTATCAATGATACAAGTCGGATCCTATATGTAGAAATAGAAGGGGGCATAACCCCTTTCTCCATCAAAAGAGGCGATATCATCACAGATACAACGCATAACATAAGGAATTAACCAAATTTCCCCGATGTAGAAGCAATCAAGAAAGCCGCGTAAATAAATATATATGACTATCCATAATCTTATATTTATTAAAGTATCTCAAAACAAACATATTTTTCTCTCTCTCTCTTCTGATTCCTTCTATTTTTAATGAGGATTTGTCAATCCTTACTTTTTATGTTGTTATTCCGCACAAAAATTTGTTAAATTTTGAAGAGTACGTATTTAACAAAATATTCTCAGGTCAAACAATTCTAATTCTTACTCATATTTTTCTACTAAAACCATATTGTGTGCCTACAAGAGTTGATTCGAGACCTTTAGGAGAATCAAACTCTTACCATATTTTATATTTAGTCCTTCGTCAACTGCAGGCAACGTCGATACATCCCAGTGGTTAAGGAGACAGCTTCGAGTCCTGTTGTCGACGTTACTGCTAACAACGCTATTTTTCATTTGCATATACGATAATGCTAATAGTTTTTTGGTTCAAATCTGCAACCAGTCCTTGTACTTTTAACATATGTAATAATTAGTCCTTGTACAGAGTTCAATGTTGTCGATATGTTCGAGTGGTTTAAGGGTTAGACTCGAAATCTTATGGGCAATGCCTGCGCAGGTTCAGATCTTGCTGTCGACGTTACTATGCTTTTTTATTTATTCGATTATACGGTAATGGTAATAATTCTTCGGTTTAATTTGCAACCTGTCCTTCTACTTTTAATAGATTTGATATTTAGTCCTTGACCAGCTATTGAGACTTGACAGCGTCGATATGTCGACGTTTCTATTCTTTTTATTTAAATGCATCTGTCGATTAGTGCACGCTTCTAGCAACTCCAATATTAATGCATCTGTTCAGCCCTCCCTGTTTTTCTACACAAACCACAATGTGGACCTACAAGATTTGAATCAAGGCCTTTTTGAAGGAGAATCGAACTCTTTACCACTCGATCGAACGAATTAGTTTCTTTTACTTATTTCGACCTCTCTGCATTTCTTCCTGGAGGACTATGAAAAATTCTGCCACTTTTATCTGCATAGCATACAGAATCTTTAACTCTCTCTTGGATATGTTGGGCAGTCCAGCTGTGGTTACGGGGATGGACTAAGGGGTTGGTAGAGATGATCGTTCCACTGAAAATTTTAAATTTTCGTATAATTTAAATATTTTTTAATATTTTTAATTGATAATTTATTTTCGTTATCGTAAAATTATTTAATCCCCGAATAGGTGAACAAGTTCTAGCAATAGGCTCAAAAACAACACAGAAAGTGGAAGAATCTTATTATACCAATGTTGGAAAGGGGATTTGGCAAGTGGTGTCAATTATTTAGATGGAAGTGCAGAAGCATAATGGATTTGCTTTCATGCGTGACAATTGCAGTTATAACCAACTCCACGTTACAATTCTAAGCATAGATGGATTGAGGGTGAGTGGAGGCAACCGTATCTTGAAAATTTAAAATTATTATATATTTTAATTGTTTTAATATATTTTCTATTAAAAATATGTCTTCACACTTAGAATTTTATAAGTTCATTCATTCCTAAAATTTTAGAAGCTCACTCACCCTAACATAAAATCTTGTGTCCTATCTTATTCTAACACTCAAAAGCATTGTTTTTGAGAAAGGAATCTGCATTGACATAATGGATTAAAAACATAGTTTCAACATTTTATCCAAAGGATCAATGCCCTTGTCTACCCCTTTACAATGAAATGGACGTGGCAGTGAGGTGGCTTAAAATACACAAGGGGAAAAAAAAGATCAAGGGTAAACTACTTCAAATGTCACTAAACTTTAAGGTTTATATCAATTTGTAGCCGTTAAATTATTAACGGCGTGATGACATTTCTATTTTTTCCTATAAATTTTAGTTTGTGTATCAGTTTTGTCACTAAATTTTAGAACGTTTCATTTTTAGGCATTAAAGTTTAGTTTGCATTTTTGGTCCCTACATACAGTCATCAACTCCTTTGGCAATCACCGTCAATCACCAATCGTCATTCGCGACAAGACCAGTATCAAGATGTTTGCATTTCACTATTTTTCTTCTCTTTAGATTGGTTTTCTAGGAAACATACCCAAAATCGATGAAAATCCATCTAAATGTTCTATGTTCTAATACTCCAATCTCCTTTGGCGGTCGTCCAATAAGACTAGTTTTGAGGTAAGTTGTTCACCTTTTCAAAAGAATGCTTCTCATGGTTCAAATTCTTGAACAAATAGTCAAAACCCCTCAAATCTAAGAGAGACCCAAAACCCTAAAAAATAGTGATTTTTTTATTCAACTTCGTGGATTTTAAAGATGTTTTGAAAAAAAATCTAAAATGACAAAACGATAGATGATGTAACATGTTTATCATTGTCTAGGTGTTCGCAAAAAACACTTGAGAATGACAGTTTCTATCAATGACTAGAATTAGATTAAAAAACTTTAAACTTTGATGAAAAAAATGATGAAATAAAATAAATATTTAATTTTCTGACTTCTAAACGAGTTAGTGCTATAATTAAAGATTAAATCAAAGTTGAGTACTATACTTAAATTAATTTAAAATTCTGTGGTAAAATCGAATTATGTTTCATATAACCAGCTATTAACCTGACTGATTTGCGTTTCCCGGTAACATTGAACCGACAAACCAGCTTGCTGCAGCCTGCACTAACTAGAAGCAACAAACCATTATAGGAATTGCTTGTCGAGTTGAATCATGAAAATTAAGGCAATCCCATGTTCTCACAGATCAAGAAAAGGCACGTTAAGGAAATAGTAATGACTTGTAGAGACTACTGTCTATATTTTACTAAAATGATCTACTTTGATTTTCTTGTCATCAACACGCAACTTATTGCATGTGATTACCTGTATTACATATGCAACAATGTCGGTTGTCGCTGTCAACTAGATCCTACTTGTTATATGGTTTACTGAAAGTGAATGAACACTATAGTCATCATCCCAGTTCTCAACTATAAAAACCCTCGAATGATGAAGATTCAGCATTGTGCAGAAAGCTCTTTTAAAAAATGGCTTATTTTCAGCCATTTATCTTCTTTGTTCTGGCAGCTTTTCCATTCTTGTTTATTTCTCCATCTCATTCCTCTTTAGATCATGATGATGTTGAGATTTTCCCTCCTGCCAATCAAGTTGGTAATGTTACTTTGTCACTGTACTATGAAACTTTATGCCCAGGTTGTGCCTCGTTTATCACAAATGACCTTGTGAAGGTCTTCCAGACTGATCTGTATACCATTGTCAATCTAAGGTTGGTCCCTTGGGGCAATGCCGACATTGTCGGAGATTTAATCCGATGCCAGGTTTGAACTCGATCTTCGGTTGCTCATGTTCTCATGGTTAATGAAGTTAACTGTTTGCAACAATGCGCAGCATGGAGAAGATGAATGCTATAGATAGCTGTGTCATTCACTTGTGGCCTGATGTGGTAAATTCTATTAGCCAAAAGTATTTGGATTTGGATCCGGATTAGTTCTCAACTACTTGAATGTGGTGCAGAAAACACACTTCGCTTTCGTTCGCTGCACGGAAGAACAAAGGTTAAAGGAGGAGCCAGTTGGTAGTAAAGAAGCAATGTGGAAAAATTGCAGTGACCAACTGGGATTGAGAGGGGACATGATAAACAAATGCTATGCTACTGGAATTGGAACGAAGGTTGGCTGCATATTTTAGTATCATTCCTTTGTTTTTTTCTCCTAAATCTTCTATTTTATGGTACACTCTTGACATTGAATGTCTGCAGCTTCTGCTTCAATATGGTAAAGAGACTGCAAGTCTCAATCCACCTCATGAATATGTTCCATGGGTGGTGGTGAATAATCAGCCACTCAAAGATGTGAGTTTCTCACTCTCTTTTTTAGCAAATCCAAAGTAACTTCTGCGACAAGTAACTCTGATATTT